CCTCCGCTTTTGCAAGCCCGGCCCCTCCGCTTTTGCAAGCCCGGCCCCTCCGCTTTTGCAAGCCCGGCCTCTCCGCTTTTGCAAGCCAGACTCCGGGGCTCTGCCTTGCCGGGTGGGCTGGCTGCCCCTCCACCACCCCAGCTCCCTCCCGCCAGTCCAGGTAGCATGCATTGCCTCTCTGCCCTTCCTACCCTCTTCCATGGGCCTCTCATCTAAACTTGGCTCCAGAGAGTCCATTCTAGTCTTCTGGCAGTTTTCTGGGTTATTTAGGCAGATGTGGGTGGAATCTAAGTGGTCAGCAGGACACAGTGAGCCCAGCGTCCTCCTATGCCACCATCTTCCTCTCCCACAACCACCATTTGTATATTTAGGTGGTTGTGACTGAAGCTTTCAGCAAACCTGGAGACAAATGGATCTGCTATGGTTTAGACTAGAGGGGAGTAGTAAATAGGCTAATTAGGGCTGGACAGGTGCTAAAAGAGAATATATGTGCTTTCCATTTTTGACTTTTCTACAGAAATTGCAAGGGAAGGCTCTAATTCATGGGTTCAAATACCAAAATAGAATTACAGTAACTTAGGAGGTTTGGAAAACTTTCAAATCCACTCCTCTTACTACTTATTACTAAAGAGTTCTTCAAAGCAGGATAGCGTGAAGAGCTATGTAACTATAAAGCGTCTTACTCTGAATAGGATTACCTCCATACATAATGTGCCTGTGGATCCGACTTAATCAGAGCTTTTAGCAGTATGGGTGGGAAAGAGAAATACTTGTTTTCACCTTCTTGGCATATAGTCACAAATTTAGGATTTTTGTAACAGGGAATGGGACCCTAATACTAAAGCCTAGATTTCTCAAGGGTGATGCGTTGATACTAGTTCTAGAATGCTATGGGCTCAAAGTAATCGAATCAGAAATCCCTCTGCACAAAAGCAGTGGTGTCAGCAGCAAGCCATATATCCTGGTGAGGCTCCTGCCCTGTGGATGCAGGTAACTTGTGACCTTGTGAGAGGGATGTAATTGGTAGCAGGGGACTGATAATTTCTGGAGATTAATTCTTCATAAAAGTCTTCCTATTCAGGATAGCCTAAGTGTTCTCTATCTTCTGTGTTCTCATCCTAGACCCTTAGGGCAATGACTAAGGAATGGAGTATGGTTCCTGAGGATTTTAGGTATAACTAATAGTTCTGATAGTACTTAGGGATCTATCTATAAACAAAAGTGAACACCTGCCATATGCACAGCTTATTCCAAAAGAATAAAGAATCCTCATCAACACAGGATGTACTTTTCTCTGTAAGTAATAATCTATTTGATGTTGGCCCTTCCTTGTGTTTCAGAACTAACCATGTTTGTGCTTGGAACGAATGGCTGATGGAGAGTCAAAAGGACAGAGGGAGGGATGAGTGTAGCTATAAATTAATAGGTTTACAGATAAAAAAACACACAAAAATACACTCAATTAATAACCAAAATAGTTTATAACTTAATATTCTTTCACATAAAAAATAGCTACCTTTAAATAATGCTTTTTCTACCAACTTAAGGACATAAGAAATGTTGAACATTAAGACTTTACTTGCATTCCTTATATTTAATTTCCACATTTCATATTTGCTACTCATAATTTCACCAAGATCTGTTTTACCCATCTTTTACATAGTATTTCACCCTTTAATTATTATTTCTGAATTGCACTTACTGGCATATGGTAATTGAGCACTTGGGATGTGGCTAGTCCAAACTGAGTTGTGCTGAAATGTAAAATATACTAGATTTTGGAGACGAAGTATGGGGAAAAATGTAAAAACTCAATTTTTATACTGATATTTAGATTGATTACATAAATTACCCAAATTAATTTCATTTCTTTTTATCTTTTTAAATGTTGCTAGAAGAACACTGAAAATTACATGTGGCTCATATTCTATAGGACAGCACAGGGCCCAAACACTTGAAAATTAGGTGGCTACAGCTTTAACACACCAGTATTCCATATATTATCTGCTTTTGGAAAAGGGCATTGTAAAAAATAACAATCCAACTACTTATGTGCATGTTTTTACTTTTTTCTAATGAACATATATTACTTTTTAAATAGAGAAAGTAAAGATGTTATATTCTGTTTATAATCTTAGACTTACAAAAAAGGACTAGCATTTAAGACATGGAGTGTAAAAGATTAAAACAATAAATCAAATTCCCCTCTTAAAATGTGAAATACGTTTTGCACCTTTTATATCAGGTGCGAAAATGAGGCACCCGGAGGTAGAAGTGGAAATCTGGGAGAACACAAGTGAGTTTGTCTGCCTGTACAAAGTTATAATTCTTGTCAAATACTGTGGAAGCTCTGCCACTCAGGTGGCTGTGGATGTGACTGTTCAAACCACTGTGCTCACATTCTTCTCCATGTTTCCATGAGAAAGAGGAGCTGTTTTTCTGGTACCAAGGATTAATACACACTTAGTCAAAAATGGCGGAGTATGAGCAGTTTTTTTCTTTTCATATCTAGAATTTAAGTTAGACCTTTTACAACTCATCTCCCTAGTTCTAATCCTCTGACATAAAGGGACTTGTCCAGAAGTTACTTAAAATGTGACTGGTTAATGATTTTCAGTAAAATACAGCATAATGGTTTTTTTTTTCTCTCTTTCTCTTTTTTTTTACTGGTTTAGGGCAGTTTATTTTGAAATGTTGCTCTTGTACTATTTGCTTTCTGGCAACATACTGGAACATTAGTTTTCAAAAGCCTTTTTCTGACAGTGGCACAATCCCATTCATCATCCATCATCAGGCCTTTCCATGAGGTCACAGAAAATCCCAGTTGCTAGTAATACTCCGATGCATTCACTTCCTCTGCAAAAGCAACCGGCACAACCACCCCCTGCCGGTGCAGTTCTCGAAGAACATCTAATATTGAGTCTAATTCTGTGCGGAACTTGTCCAACTCACGATTCTTCAACTGTGCAAGTCTTTTCCATTTCTCAATTTCTTTGCTTTGCTCAGTTTCTACTACTTGGTGTGTTTGCTGTATTATCTGCAAACAAAATAAACAAAAATAAAAATCTATTATTACTGTTACAGTTCATCGTGGGAGTGAAGATTTAACATTCCAAGAAAGCTCAAGTGCGACAATGCTGACTGTAGTAGAGGGGAGGGAGAAGGAGAGGGAGCCTGTGTCCATCAATAAGCTTGTGGAAGAAGAGGGTAAGAACCAGGAATTCTCATTCTGATAGGGAGGAGTTAGGGAGCTTGAGTTTTGTTTTTTTGTTTTTTTAACTCAAAGCTTTAAAAAAAATGTGGCATTCAAAGCATCAGAAATTTCTAATACCTTGGTATGAATCCAAACACACCCCCACCAATGTAGTTCCTCAAGATTAGCACTTGAGACATAATCAAAACAGTTCTAATATACAACACACGTCATTAATATACATTACAGCAGTAAAAATGATAAAAGTACATGCATGTAGCATCTATCATGTGCCAGGCTTGGTTTTACATATAACATTTTACATATGTTAACTCATTTAACCCTGCAAAACATAGTAGCAGGTGAATTCTATATATTTACCCCCATTTACCAGGTAGGGAAATAGAGGCACAGATAAGCAAAAAATAATTTGCTCAAGATTCACACACAACCGATTGGAGGCAGAGTCAGGGTTTATACCCAAGCAGTTTGGCCTCAGCATCCCTGCTCTTGCCATTTACAACAATGTGGATGGAACTAGAGTGTATTATGCTAAGCAAAATAAGTCAGTCATGGAAACACAAATATCATATGATTTCACTCCTATGGAATTTAAGAAACAACAAGGGGCGCCTGGGTGGCTCAGTCAGTTAAGTGTCTGACTTCAGCTCAGGTCATGGTCTCGCAGTTTGTGAGTTCGAGCCCCACGTTGGGCTCTGTGCTGTCAGCTAGGAGCCTGGAACCTGTTTCACATTCTGTGTCTCCCTTTCTCTCTCCCATTCCCCTGCTCATGCTCTCTCTCTCTCTCTCTCTCTGTCTCTCAATAGTAAATAAATGTTAAAAAAAAAAAAAAATTAAAGAAAAAGAAGCAACAGATGAACATGGGGGAAAGGAAGGAAAAATAAGATAAAAATAGAGATACACAGAATAAACTGAGGGTTGCTGGAGGGGAGGAAGGTGGGGGAATGGGCTAAATGGGTGATGGGCATTAATGAGGGGACTTGTTGAGATGAGTGCTGGGTGTTACATGGAAGTGATGAATCACTGGGTTCTACTCCTGAAACCAATACTACACTGTGTTAACTGACTTGAATTTAAATTAAAAAAAAAAAAAAAAAAAAAAAAAAAAAAGTGTGGTAGAATACAATTGTGAAGTCACCTGGCCCTCGGTTTCTCTTTGTTGGGAGATTTTTGATTGCCGATTCTGGATTCTGTCGTCTTATTAGTAACTGGTCTGTTCAGATTTTCTGTTTCTTAATGATTCAGACTTGGTAGGTTGTATGTTTCTAGCAATTTACTGATTTCTTCTAAGTTGTACTGTTTGTTGGCATATAGTTGTATATGGTAATCTCCTATGATCCTCTGCATTTCTATGGTATCAGTTGTAATGTTTCCTATTCTATTTATAATTTTAAGTCCTCTCTTATTTCTTGGTTGGCCTAGCTGAAGGTTTGTCAATTTTATCTCTTCAAAGAACCAACTCCTAGAGTTTTGTTAATATTTTCTATTGTCTTCCTATACTCCATTTCATTTATTTTTGCTCTAATCTTTATTTCTAACCTTCTGCTAACTTTGGGATTATTTTGTTCTTTTTCTAGTTCTTTGAGCTGGTAAGTTAAGTTGTTTGAGATCTTTTTCTTGATGTATGCATTTATCACTATTACCTTCTCTCTTAGAACTGCTTTTGCTGCTACCCATATGTTTCGGTATGTTGTGTTTCCATTTTCATTTGCCTCAAGATACTTTTTATTTTACTTTTAATTTCTTCTTTGATCCATTGTTAATTAGGAGGTGATGTTGAATTTTTATGTTTGTGAATTTTCCAGTTTTCTTCCTCCTGTTGACTTCTAGTTTCCTATCATTGTGTTCAGAAAGCATACTTGCTATGATTTCAATCTTAAAATTGCTAAGGCTTTTGTGGCCTACCATATTATCTATACTAGAAAATTTTCCTTGTGTGCTTGAGAAGAATGTTTATTTTGCTGCTGTTGGAAGGAATGTACTGTGTATGTCTGTTAGGTCCATTTTGTCTATAGCACTGTTTACATCCCACTATTTAAATCCCACTGTTTCCTTACTGATTTTTTGGATAGATCTATCCATTGATAAGATCCATTCTATCATTGTATTGCTGTTTATTTCTCTATACATAGGTGCTGTGATGTTGGATGCATAAATATTTACAACTGATATATTTAATTGATGGATTGACCCTTTTATCATTATGAAATTACCTTTGTCTCTTTTGTAGATTTTTAGCATAAAATCTATTTTGTCTGACATAATTACAGCTACTCCTGATTTCTACTGGTTACCATTTGATTGAAACACATTTTTCTATCCCTTCCCTCAGCCTATGATGTTTGTCTTAAAGCTAAAGTCTCATGTAGGGGCATATTGTTGGATCTGTATTTCATCCACTTGGCAATTATGTGGTTTGAATAGAGAATTTAATCAATTTACATTTAAAGGAATTACTGATAAAGATTTACAATTGCCATTTTATTTTTTGACTGTTTTGTAGATCCTATGTTCCTTGCTTATCTCTTGCAGTTGTCTTTTGTGATGTGATAACTTTTTGTAGTAGTATTCTTTGACTCCTTTATCATAATCTTTTCTGTAATTGGTACAGGTTTTTCTTTTGTGGTTACCATGAAGCTTACATAAAATATGATATAACAACCTAATTTAAGTAGATAACTTTACACTTTTACTCCACCCCTCCCCTCAACTTCAGGTTATTGATGTTAAAATCAACATTTTTTATATTTTGTATACAATAACAAATTAGTATAGTTATGGTTATTTTTAATGTTTTTTAGCTTTTTTTAAAAAACATTTATTATCGAGAGACAGAGAGAGAAAGAGAATGAGCATGGGAGGGGCAGAGACAGGGGGAGACACAGTATCTGAAGCAGGCTCCAGGCTCTGAGCTGTCAGCACAGAGCCCAATGCAGGGCTCGAACTCATGAGCAGTGAGATCATGACCTGAGCCAAAGTCGGATGCTTAACCGACTGAGCCACCCAGGCGCACCTGTTTTTTAACTTTGAAACTAGAGTTGTAAATGAATTATGAATTGCCACAACAATCTTAGTGAATCTGACTCTGGACTATTTACCATTTCCAGTGAGTTTTATACCTAATAATCATACATTTTAAATATGTTAATTAGCTTCATTTTATTTCCACCTGACAAATTCCATTTAGCATTTATTTTAAGGTGGGTCTAGAGGTGATGAACTTAGCTTTTTATGTTTATTGTATTGGTATAATAAACATGTAACATTAGGTTCACATGTGTGACATATGATTGATATTTGCGAATACTGCAGAAAGATAACCACATAATACTAGTTAATATCCACTGTCATACATAGTTACAAAATTTGTTTTTCTAGTAAGGAGAACTTTTGAGATTTGCTCTTTAATAGCTTTAAAATATACAGTTTATTATATTAACTATAGTCACCACACTGTATATTACATCCGTATAACTTACTTTAGCTGGAAGTTTTTACCTTTTTCTCCTGGCACCCATTTTTCCTACCTCCCATGCCCTACCCCTGGAAACCACCTATCTACTCTCTATATCTATAAGCATGGCATTTAAATTTTTTTAAATTAACTTAAAAAATTTTTTTGATGGTTTGTTATTAGTGTATAGGAATGCAACAGATTTCTGTATATTATTTTGTATTCTGAAACTTTACTGAATTTTTTAGTTCTAATAGTTTTTGGTAAAGTCTTTAGGGTTTCTTATATATTATGTCATGTCATCTGCAAAGAGTGGTAGTTGTACTTCTTCCTTTCTAATTTGGTGGCATTTTATTTCTTTTTTTTAAATTTCTTTTTAATATTTATTTTTGACAGACAGAGAGAGCATGAGCAGGGGGGTGGGGCAGAGAGAGAGGGAGACACAGAATCTGAAGTAGGCTCTAGGTTCTGAGCTGTCAGCACAGAGTCCGACGTGGGCTCGAACTCAGACCGTGAGATCATGACCTGAGCCGAAGTCAGACGGACATTCACCCAACTGAGCCACCCAGGTGCCCCAGAGGCATTTTATTTCTTGACTAATTGCTCTTGTTAAGATTTCCAATACTATTTTGAATAAATGTGGTGTGAGTGGGCATCCTTATCTTGTTCATGATCTTAAAGGAAAAGCTTTCAGCTTTTCACCATGGATTATGAGGATAGCTATGGGTTTTTAATATATGGATTTCATTATGTCGAAGTACCTTCCCTCTATACCATTTGTTGAGTTTCCATCAGGAAAAGATATTGAACTTTGTCAAATGCTTTTTCTACATCTACTGAGATCATCTTAAGCTTTTTACTCTTCATTTTGTTAATGAGGTGTATCACACTGATTTGTGGATGAGGAACCATTTCGGCATTTCTGGAATAAATCCAACTTAATGGTGTATGACCCTCTTAGGATGTATTGCTGATATTGACTTGTAATATTTTGTTGATGATTTTCACATCTATGTTCATGAGGGATATTGGCCAGTGTTGCCTTGTGGCATCCTTGCAAGGTTTTGGCACTGGAGTGATGCTGGCCCTGCAAAATAAGTTTGGAAGAGTTCCCTCCTTTTTGTTTGCAAATGTTTCAAAAGAATTGGTACCAATTATTTAAATGTTTTTAGAATTCACCAGGGAAGCCCTCTGGTCCTGGATGTTGTTTGTTGAGAGGTTTTTGATTATCAATTCAATCTCCTTAATAATAATCAGTCTTTTCAAGTTTTCTATTTCTTCATGATGCCTTCTTGTTAAGTTTTGTTCCTAGGAATTTATCCATTTCTTTTGGTTGTCCAATTTGTTGCTGTACAATTATTCATGCCAG